TTCGTCGTCTTGGTGGAAGGGGCTGTTGACCAAACCATAAGGCCGCGCACCCTTCCAAGGGAATTTTTTTCCATGTTGAGTTCCCTCTATGTTCAACTGGTATCGCCCTGTCTCAAAGAATCTCCCTGCTATGGAGTAATATCCAATTAAATTCAAGGGAGGAGGAGGGTTGTATAACGTTGTATGCTAATTAATGTCCCGACAGGACCAAGCGAATAAGAGTGTTCTTCTTCCTTGCGCTGTAATCTTACACCAGATTGTCCCCTCCGTTTTCAGGCGGCAATGGTTTAATCTAGTAATAATGTACAGGCAGCTTCCTCTTGCTAAAGCCAAACCCCGTCGTGTTTCCTCGCGCCTGAGTTTGGTTTATTCCTCTTTTGTTCCTCCTCCGTCCGGAGGTGGACTTGGTTTCGTCCGCTTCTCTCCACTTCCCTCTTGAGCCCGAGCGGGTTCCTGTTGTTGTAGATGCTGCGGTGGGCTGCATGGCGTCCTCCCTTGTAGTGCCTGGCGGTGGGTTGCAGGGCTTCCTTTTGCAGCTGCACGACGCCCTTCGGAGCTCAGACACCAGTAGCGCCGCGCTCCAGGGCTGCAGCTTAATTCGCTCTTTAGCGGAGTCGTGTGTCACTAGCAGTGGAGACGACATCCTGGGTGTGTAAACCGTTGATCAAGCCGTGACCTGAGAGGTCTCGGCGATGGGGCTCCTTAAAAAACGAAAAGAAAAGCAAAATTCGGTGGTGATCAAGTGGAATGAGGGCTTTGGAGTGTAAATGCAAGCGACGCGTTGTTTATTCAGCGAGCCTTACTTCGGAATGTTGCAACGGTGGTGATGGATCCATTCCGGAAGCAGATGGTTTACTCCAGATTCAGTGGTAGTTAATTAGGTGAAACAGACGGGAAAACAATTGCAGACCAGGACTATGAACGTGCAGCTCTGGGAAGTAGGGATAATTAGAATTGCTTAGCTCTTGCATTCCCAAACGCTGTGCACTAAACAAGAAACAGTTGCTTGGTGGGACTTCTGAGGAATGAGTTGTGCGGGCGAACTTCTCTCCTTGATTAATTTCCATCCATGCTTCTTGCCCTGCCCTCAGGTGCTTTGGAGAATAGCTTGACTCCCTCTTTGTGATACTGGAACACTGCTATCATGTCACCCCAGTCCTTTTCATTAAACAAGACATAATCCAATTCCAGCAGATGTATAGTTACGTACATTTCAGGGTTTAGTTTAGCATGATGTATAATAACTTGCCTTAACTTTTTACACTGCATTTAGATTTTTCCCTGCATCTGTGATGTGGAGAATCGAGAGCATGATCCTTGTTCCCAATATGACATGTATTTTCTTCGTTACATTCATAGAATATTATATTCTGTAACCCTTCATTTGGAAGTGCAGGTAGTTCTTACAATTGGGACCAGAATTTCCATTAAATAAGTTATGCCTCATTTTACAAGCTTTTTTGCCATTGTTAAGCAAATCACTGCCATTGTTAAATGAATCATGCATAATTAAGTGAATCTAACTTCACAAGCTGACTTTGCTTGTTGGAAGGTGGCTGGGAAGGTAACAAAGGGTGATGATGTAACCCAGGGACACTGCAAATCAAAATATATGGTCATTGCCAAGCACCCAATTTTCATCATGTGACCATGGGGAATCTGCAGTGGTTATAAATGAGAAGACCTATTGTCACTTTTTTCAGTGTCACTAACTTTGAATGGTTGTTAAACCAATGGTTGTAAGTTAAGGATTACCTATTTAATTCATTAAAATATTAATCTGCATTTATTCTTCTCTCAGCCTTGCAGATTTCACTGGTGTTTTCTAAAGAAAATGGACTGCTACCATTTATTTATAAGTCGCTGAGTGTTGAAGATGTAAGTTAAAAATCTAGGGTTGAAACTACTTTTTAAATAGTCTAGCCTTGTTAAATATTATTTCTAGACAAATTAGGTACATTTTGTTAATGTTGGCAGTTATTCTAATTGCTTCTTCAAAAGCTGTGTGTAGCAATTAAATGATCTGAGACTGCAGTGTGTATGTGTGTGTGTGTATAATGTTCATTTCATAAGACTGATATGAAGCCTTATTTTGCCTGAATGAATTCTTAATGAGGATGATTTTTTTTTAGTTTAGAGAATGCAGAGAAGAAGCATTAAAATTTATTCTTGCCTTTGTGGAAAAGATTGGCCCCAAAATTCAGCCTTATGCACAAGATGTAAAGGTAGGTCAAAGAAAATTATTTTACATTTTTTTTAATGTCAAACTAGATAATTTTGCTAAGCAAAGTAGAATTAATGTTAGGATTAAAATACTAATAGTTAATTTTAAAAGCTAATGGTTTCCATGAAATTCTTGAATTATTTGTTCAGTTGAAACTCAAATATGAGATGATACCGGTACTTACCGGTACTTCACGAAAAATATTTAAAGTTTCTCAAATGAAAACTTAGAACTTCCAAACAGATTAGATGTAAAAATTGTATTATGGATGGAAGTCGGGAAAATAGGAAACATGATTTATATTTCATCTTAATTTCATAATTTATCTTCAGAATGTGCCCTTTTAGTATAAAAGTCTGTAACATGCTGGTCTTTCTGAGTCTGAACCAGTGGTGGGATTCCATTTATTTATTTTTTGCTACAGGTTCTGTGGGTGTGGTTTAGTGGGCGTGGCAGGGAAAGGATACTATAAAATCTCCAGTCAGAGGTGGTATTTGCTGGTTCTCCGAACTACTCAACATTTCCGCTACTGGTTCTCCAGAACTGGTCAGAACCTACTGAATATCACCTCTGGTCTGAACAATCAATTGTGATTGTAACCTACTGTCTCAGTCTAGAAATTGTACTATTGTAATATTGTTAACATTGTTTTAATCTTATATTAATATTAATGTTAATAGTATTTATTATAATTATAATCTAATATTGTTAATGATTCCAAAAAGAATAAAAGATGTCTATCAATTTCACATTCTTTTGTTTTTACCACTGGGATGTTCTGAATGGATGTCTTTTTATGAATACTCTCAAATATTGAAAAGAGAAGATTTAATTTATCCCCAAATGTATAGAAAAGACATTCCTGGAACCTGGCTTTTGATTAATGCAGTTGAGCAATGTGAAATATTCTAATGTCCAAAATTTGCAAATTTGCATTGGTATCTTTGGGTAGTTTTAATATTTTTGAATGAAGTAAAATAATGAGGAACAATTACCTCACCAATTCCATATTTAAGTTAGAGGATTTTTGGTTGTATTGTTACTATATAATAATATATTTTTTGTCTTTTAAAAATTAGAGGATATGTGTTACTGCGTATACAAAAGACAGATCAGCAAAATGTGGAATCCCAGCTCTAGAGCTACTGATCAAGGTAAAATCAATGGCACAGTTTTATATTTTGCTGTGCTTTAAAAAAAATTATTTACCATTCTAACCCTTGACATGTTGAATATCTTTGTAGCTGCTTCAAAAGTTACAATCATCGTATGCAATGGTAGACATGAAGGTTGGAGAAATCTTTAACAAGTTTTATGGAGAAATTGCTATAAAAAGCAAAGTGCCTGATACAGGTAATATTTAACTTGTCTGTCAGTAACTAAGATTAAAAGGTATTTAGCAAGTATCGTAAATTAGCTAGTGTCCCAAAGAATAAACAGATTGAGATTTATCCTGACCAAATGTTTCTAATAAGCCTCTAATAAGGTGTAAGTAGTATTGAAAGCAAGGAATGATGGTAGCCTATGTCATTGATTTTGTACACATTGATTCCTACTTAATTATTTTTAAAATTCATGCACAACTTAACATCTTTTTAAAAACGTGCCAAACATCAAGATTTGTTCTCCTGGTGATGCAAAACAGACCAGCCTATGGAACATGGCATGACAATAAGTTGTAATGTTTTCTTCCAAAATGTAGTTGGATAAAGAAGAGTATTCTGTTAGTTTCTGGCTTGATCAGGGAAGAAATAGTCTTTTCACATGCTTTATTTCTTACCTGAGTCATTAAAAAGTTATTGCTGAAAGTCTGAGCAATAAGTACCGTCTTGTGGCAGACTCTTTCCTTTTATCAAATTTATTTATAATTTGGCAAATTAAAACCCAGTTGTAGAAATATATACAGTGAGATTGCCACCCCTCAGGATAATGTATACAAATGCCAGTAAGAACTTGGAAACCTATATGTTGCTCTGAATTAAATCCTATATTTGATGATAGGGGGAAATAATTGGGGTAGTTGACATAAAATATAATCAAGTGATTTAAGATGCTATTTTTTTTAAAGTGTTGGAAAGGATTTATGAGCTCTTGGGAGTCTTGGGTGAAGTTCAACCTAGTGAAATGATTGACAATTCTGAAAAACTATTCCGTGCTTATCTGCTAGAATTAAAAGTACAGGTAAGAAAGGGGTTTGCATTTGGTATGGAAGGTTGAGATTGATTTCTTAAAAGTGTTGTTAATGCTGGCTCTTAATACCTCATATACAGATTTTAAATTATATGTTCATTGTATCAAAGTGAATATATATTTTTCCATATGTGTAGGTTTCCAGGCTGATCCAATTACTCAATATTAATGAAGCTTATTTAATAAGGTCATCACAGTGTTTTACTTTTAGATGTGTACATTTCGTTTTATAAATATGCAGCATGTGAATAAATAGGAATTGGCAGAAGTGCGACTTATAATTAATGCAAATTTAATTAGTAAGATATTTGCTGTTTTTGTATACACATTTAGTATTTTTAAAATGAGAAT